ATGAATGCAACACAATGATTGCAATTGTTAGCACCACATCTGTATGTAGAAAAGCCTGTAGGGCTAGTCACTCTCTAACTACATTCATTAATTGTATGCTACATCTTGGTTGTGGCTCCGTTGAGTTGCAATGGCGCCATGTGCCTGATCCCTGTCCATGAAAACCAATCATACTACATCACCTGTCAATCATCACCTTCCTCTGCTCTAACTACATTCATTAATTGTATGCTACATCTTGGTTGTGGCTCCGTTGAGTTGCAATGGTGCCATGTGCCTGATCCCTGTCCATGAAAACCAATCATACTACATCACCTGTCAATCATCACCTTCCTCTGCTCTAACTACATTCATTAATTGTATGCTACATCTTGGTTGTGGCTCCGTTGAGTTGCAATGGCGCCATGTGCCTGATCCCTGTCCATGAAAACCAATCATACTACATCACCTGTCAATCATCACCTTCCTCTGCATCATCACCAGCTACTATCAATTGCTGCACCCATTTTCCTTGCTTGACTAGCTGTAACTTGTCTACCAAGGTTATCCTGATTTCACATTGGCCTATGGTCCCAGGCAGCTCAAGATGCTGGCTCTTGCATCTGGAGGATCTGGCCATCATCATTACCAAGATCCTGGGGCAAAGGACTTCATAATCAAGATCCTTGTGCAAAGAACTTGTGTCTGTCTCCATACACAGGTTTCATCAAAGCAGGATGGAGTTTTCGCTGCCCTGCACCTATGTATCCCCACTGTCCTGAGTCTGCCCTTGCTGAGGGTTGATCCCTATATTCTAGTCAACTTCATTGGTCAAATGGGACTGAAATTCAATCTCCCCATCATCTGTACATGCCCCGACTGTGTTGCTCAGTTGGGAACATGAGGTCAGTCATGGTGGTCCATTGACTCATATAGGAAGCACTTGTCCAAACCAAATATGATGAGATCAATGCTTCTTGTTAAGCATCCCTCAAGCGCTGCATTGCCTTGTCAAAATGTATCCTCCTGGACAACCACCCCATCAATAATGGCCATGACACTTGCTCTGGAAGAGGTGGTCACCCAGCCATTCCCCCCCCCACCCCCCGTCAAGCCTGTTGAGGAAGACATGCACAACAAGACCATACATACACAGCCTGGCATTCTCAAGGGCAATGGTACTACCCTGTACAATTCAGAGTCGCCCCCCAAGACCCATCAAGATTTTGCTGGGCTTAACCACATGCTTGGGGAACTCTTGGAATCCTCAGACAATCACAGCATCAATCTCATCCTTGAAGATCTCAACAACAAAATCATTGCACTTGATGCTGATCAGTCCGACCATGAGCTGGCATGCTTTGAAGCAACAGAGGGAGAACATGGGCTTTTGAGGAGAGACACAGGGGAGGCATGGGCTGAGGACATGTCTATGAAGATGGGGGACCTCATCCACATAGATGCAATGCATGACACAATGATGGACTGCATAGTCGACCCTCCCTTGGCTGAATCACACACTGACCTGCCTTCTGCCATGCCAGATATGGATGCCTACATCGATATTCCCAATCCTGTGGTGCAATATGAAGAGTTGCATGTGCACCCTGCAGTCCAGGCCTTTGCACTGCTGCCTACCTACCTGCATGCCATCTTTCACTTGCCCCACACTGGATGCAACATTCTTAGCATTGTTCCACTTCTTTGTTCTCCAATATGATCTAGTCAATGACAAACATGACTGAGCCCCTTGTGAGAAAGTGCCTCTAATGCTCCACACCATATACAACAGGGGAGGCTTTCAGGATCAGTTCTATAAAAGAACTTTATGTCTGCAGTGCTGGGAAGTGCAGCCAGAACAAACAGATGGTGCTTCCTCAACATGCCTGCAGTGTGGGGAAGCTCTATATCATCCATCAGTGCAGACCAGTAGCAAGCAAGATAGCAAGGCCCAGCTCCAGACTCCATATGACCTACTATCCTGACAGCTCGCTGAATTCCTCCAACAACCAGGAATGGAGGAAGCCTGTTTGTCTTATGCACAATGAGTCCGGAAACCAAACACCTACTCTTGCATTCAAGATGGGAGCATCTGGCAATGACTCAAGGGACCTGATGGCAAGTTATTTTTCCCAGACACAGCCCAGGAGGTGGCAGATCAAGAGGAACTCCACCTGGGGGTTACCATCTCTCTAGACTGGTTCAACCCCAAACCCTCAAAGGAGTCTGTGCCATACAGTACTGGAGCTCTGTCAGCACAGATAGTGAACCTGCCGCCGGATTTGAGGTAAGCAATGAAAGGATTGTCTTGTTGCACAGTGGGCCACATGCAACAAGACAATCCATCACAACTATCTCTACATGTAGGCTGACATTACCACAGATATTGCATTTATAACCTGTGCCTCTGTGCCATCCTACCAGGTCTGACTGAGCCCAGCCATGCTAATTTGCAACAATTTCTTGGACCATTTGTGGATGATCTCCTGTTGCTATACACCACTGGTATCAAGGTCAGAACCCTGTCATGGCCCCAAGGACGACTTGTGTGTGTAGCAGTTGTAGGTCTGATCTGTGATCATCCTGCTCTCTGCAAGGTCACTGGATTTGCAGAGCATGCAAGCACCATGTGGCCCTGCACAAAGTGTGACATCCAGAGATCAGAGATCTCCATGTTCTCCAATGCCTCATGTCGCCCTTGGGACTGTGTGGAACACAAGCAGCATGCTTGGGTGCATCAGAACACACTGGAGGCCAACCAAGATGAGTATGCAAGAAAGCATGGGGTATGGTGGTCAGAGTTCAATCGACTGCTGTACTTCGATCCTATCATGATGGGCATGATAGATCTGATGGACAGTTTACTTCTCAGTGAGCATGGTTTTATTGGCAATCAAAGCTAATTGATCACACCAGGAATATCCCATACTCTATGGTTTAAAGTTTGGGTTCAAGGCATGAGGAGCGAAAAAGGCTCCAGGCTTGGCAGGCAAATTGTCCTTCAACAGCACACAGACAGAGTACGTTGAGAGCTTGACAAGGTCCATGAACTGCTGGAGACAGTACATACCCTGTGTCAGGGCACCAGCTCATTGCTTGGTCAAGAGACATGACTAAGCCTTTATGACA